GCACAAGTTACTTGCGGCTGGGTCAAATCAGTTCACTTCTACATGGTTTGTGCCGCCTTGCTTAGTTCTTTTTGATGTAAAAAATTTGAAGTTTTTTAGATTGATATTGGTCTTTGCAATTTCTGTTAAAGGTATTACAGATTCTTTTGTGATAAATTGTCAAATATTTGTACAAGTATAAAGCACAGCGCAAGTATGTTATCGCGCCAACGTGGACCAAATTCAACTCTTTTGAGAAATGAGATTTGTTTGACACATCCTTGTCAGAACTGTTGCCTAAACTTTTATTAGAAAATGTGATTCTGCGCCTTCAATTTACTGCGCTTTAAATTTATTGCAGGTCAGAGGTGAAGATACATCCACTGTTCTCTTGCTGCTGAAACATCTAACACGATCTTCAAGCAAATCAGATGTACATGCACTGAAAACTAAACTACTGAATAAGGTATTAATTGAAAGGTCTCTAATGTTGGACCACCCTTTTTCATTACTGGTATTTGCATTTTGGTGTTGAACCGTTTTTGAAAATAATTAATGTCCAACATTACCACTTTGGCTGAGGGGCCAACTTCTCAGCACTGCTAAGCACAAACTCTTTTGCTAACAGAGGCTGTGTACATTTCATGATGCAGTAAGCAGTGAGCACAGGTAATGGCATGTTTACCTTGGAGGAAAATTTGCTTATTAAACCCCTTCGCGCCGTGATTCTCTTGACCATGACTGTTGGGCTGTGGTATGCCATGAATAGAGGGCTTTGTCTATCAGCAGGCCCCATTGAACCAGCAGCTGCATGGTGAATGGACTGTATATGTGGTATGCACTAATCCTCACACAAAGCCGCGGCTCTTGCCGTCTCCTGGAGCGAAGGGGTCAACTTTGCAACATAAAGGAAATATTTACGTGAGTGCATGTTTAAGCACAAGCAGACCAAGCTTATGGTAGTGCTTACCTTTAGCAGAATCCTCTGATGTAGTAAGCACAACTTTTTTGTTAACTATTAGGCAGCTCTGTAAAACTGGGCCCAGTTTATAGTATGAAAAGATTTAGTTGTCAACACTAACAGTCAAGTAATAGGGAATAATCAAGTGATTTCAATATATATCACGGAGGAAGGACACAGAAGGAGTTGTAACTTGGGCACTTCAAAGTGTTCAATGATTGTCGCCACCGAGTCAGACGAATAATAGAAAATATTCCAAAAATGCCTCATTGCTGCCTGCATCTTAGCCGGACAAGCGAGCCCAGGAATATCCCAGCAAGTAGGATAGTAGTTTTTTGCTTGCAATTAAATACAAATTATCAAAGTGACCAGGAAATAGGGAGAGACAAATTCCTGATATTAGACCTACTTTTGCCATCATAAATAAACTTTTAAAATTTTGACACACTGTTTCATTATCCATGCAAAGTTTGTAATTTTATTCTCCTCCGTCCAATACATCAGTATTAAAAGACTTGGTACGAATTTGGCTAAGACTGGCCATCAAAACGTTCACTACTACTGGAAAGCTTAGTTCATTAGGAACAAAATGTGCTATTTTATCACAGGGAGTGATCGTGAAATCTCATGAAATATGCCTTTGTACAAATGCCATAATAAAAACGATTCAAACAAAACACAAAATCTTACAAATAGCTTGGCTATTTATTCCTAAAAGAAGTCCAGAAGAAAGCATTCGATAAGGGCAACAACTGCACTTGAATACTTCGGGTACACAGCCTAATAAAAGCAACTTCGCAAGTACTGAATTTGATGTTGTTAGATCATATCAAGCACCAACGATGGCATGAATATTCAATTTCCTATATTGCAGTACACAACGTTTTAGGGATGCAGATTACCAACAAAAAATTGCGGCGAGGATCATAGGGTACAAAGGGAGCTTATGGTTGCAAAAACAGGTGGTGGATAGCAGGCGTGCGCTGTGCTCTAGCTGTGGACATACCGGGCATGCCAGAAAGCGGTAATCAGCCAGATGTTATAGCTCAGGCAGTTCAAACTCCTTCTGTGTCCCTCCTCCATGATATCAATGGATGCTATGAACCATTGTGCATGCATGTGACCTTATGAACTTTATTAAAGTTGTCGTTGACATTTATCTTGTAGATGGTTTTCTGCTTGTCCTATTTGTTGGTTGATGTATTCCTGTCGTATTTTGGATCTTTTTTAGTTCATCAAAGAGACTGGACTGTTTGCTCACACGGAATGGGAGATTGCTGTTTGGCTAGACACCTTGACCACCTTCAATCAAGATGAATCCCAACAAATTGTGGATGTGTTCTACAAGTCGCTGACACAAGCCATACGGAATCCCTATCCATTCAACGACAAAGTAATTGAGGCTATGAAGTCTTCACATGCAAGTTACCAAAGTGGACAAGGGGAATGCATGAATAATGATGGTAATTATTTACATGTCTGCAGTCTTTCTTGGGATATTTGAAGTCTTGCTTGTTCAAATACCACTACCATCAAATTGTTACAGTTTCTAGAAATCAGTACAGATTTAGGAGGTGGTTGGTATCAAAGTCATTTTTGAGCAAGGTTTAATCAGTACACAATTTGTGAACGATTTGTTGTATTGGTGATATTGCTCAGAATGAAAATTGACAAAGAAAGATATCAGTGCCACCAGCTCTACCATAGTTCATTCAGAACTGATGATTTGACCCAATTATTTAGAATATGCAAAGAGTCATACCATTAATACAACTTGTGATGGTTTGAAACAATAAATCAAGTGTACAAAATGTACGACATATACCGTGGAAGAAGGACTCGGAAGGAGTTTGAACTGCCCGGGCTATAACATCTGGCCGATTACCACTTTCTGGCATGTCCGGTATGTCCACAGCCAGAGCACAGCGCACGCCTGCTATCCACCACCTGTTTTTGCAACCATAAGCTCCCTTTATACCACAGGATTGTCGCCGCAATTTTTCGTTAGTAATCTGCATCCCTAATACGTTGTGTATTGCAGTATAGGAAGTTGAATATTCATGCCATCGTTAGTGCTTGATATGATCCGACAACATCATCAAATGTAGTGTTTGCACAGTTGCTTTTATTAGGCTGTATACCCGAAGTGTTCATGTGCAGTTGTTGCCCTTATAAAACGCTTTCTTCTGGACTTCTTTTAGGAATAAATAGCCAAGCTGTTTGTAAGATTTTGTGTTTTGTTTTAATCATTTTTATTATGGCATTTGTACAAAGGCGTATTTTATGAGATTTCACGATCACTCCTTGTGACGAAATAGCGCATTTTGTTGCTAATGAACTAAGCTTTCCAGTAGTAGTGAACATTTTGTTGGACAGTCTTAGCCAAATTCGTTTCAAGTCTTTGATACTGATGTATATTGGACAGAGGAGACTAGAATTACAAACTTTGCATGGATAATGAAACAGTGTGTCAAAATTTAAAAATTTTATTTATGATGGCAAAAGTAGGTCTAATATCAGGAATTCTTCTCTCTATTTCCTGATCACATCGATAGTTTGTATTTAAGTGCAAGCAAAAAACTACAAGTATTGCCAGGGTATTACTGGCCCCACTTGTCCAGCTAAGATGCAGGCAGCAAGAAGGCATTTTTGGAATGTTTTCTATTGTTTGTCAGACTCGGCGGCGACCATTATTGGACTCTTTGAAGTGCCTGAGTTACAACTCCTTCTGTGTCCTTCCTCCATGCATTTTCTTAGTGTGTCGTTCCCCTGAGCTTAAAAGAGAAGATAAGGAATTCATTTCCTAATTTGCAAGGAAAGGCAGATATTTACCTTTGGGAAAACTTCATAACCATACCATCAGCAAGAGCCAACATTTAAACCCATTCAGTGGCCCTAATATGATATCGAACTACAGGTAGCAGAGGGACAGAAACAAGGGCACAGATAAAGTTGGTATTCCACAAACCGTGATATCAAGTACATTACATTTGTGATATTACACAATATATGATTATAGTTGACAGCATTTGGAGAGATTTGTAAATATATTCCCTGCTATGCATGCAGGTACCTGCGGTATTTACAGTGTAAATACTAATCATAGTTGGTTCTGTTTTACCCAGATGCCTCCATGACTGACATCCTGACATTGATAAAACACACAACATCATGTGACCTTAATGGAAGTGACCTCATTACAACTTTGGAGAATCAACCAATGACTGAAGTCTTACATACTGAACCGATGCCATGCAGTGCGCTCATGCCTTCTGCTCTTCAAATCTTTTGTCAGTTGGAAAACAACACCCAAAGTAAGTATGCCTGTACATGTACCTGAATTTTCAGAATGTAGGCTGCATGATATACTGGTATAATGTATGCTGGG